AGCCACAGGTGCTGAGCCAAAAGAAAATATTTATATACAACTATATAATGTGTTTGTTTTAAACTGTTATTACAAAAGAGTCAAAAACTATTGGCTATGCCTGTAGCTCAGTGGGTAGGACACCATCCACATACACCCAGGCTGGGTTCAAACCCAGCCTAGGCCAGCTAAAGTCAACAATGACAACTGCAATAAAAATAAAGTAGCCGGGTGTTGTGGTGGGTGCCTACAGTACCAGCTACTCGGGGGGCTGAGGCAAGACAATTGCTTAAGCCTAAGAGTTGGAGGTTGCTATAAGCTGTGACACCATGACACTCTACCAAGGGCGACAAAATGAGACTCTGTCTAAAAAAAAAAAGTAAAAAAGTAAAAAAATAAATAAATAAAAAGTTTATGAAGTAAAAGAGTTATAGTAAGGTAAGGTGAATTAATTATTTAAAAAATTTTTTTGTAAATTTGGTATAGTGTTAAGTATACAGTATTTATGAAGTCCATAGTAATGTACAGTAATGTCCCAGGCCTTCACAGTCACTGGGACACCACTCACTCACTGACTCACCCAGAGCAACTTCTAGTCTTGCACATTATGTTAAGACTATACTGGAGTAGTGCCATTTTTAATCTTTTATATTTTCACTATACCTTTTCTGTGTTTGGCTATATTTAAATACGTAAGTATGTTCCACTGTGTTACAACTGCCTATAGTACTGAGAATAGCAAAGTGCTAAACAGGTTTGTAGCCTAGGAGCACCAGGCTACACTACACCACCCAGGTGTGTAGCAGGCTGTAAATACACCTGGATGCTTGTTTAAGTACACTATGATGTTTGTACAATGACAGGACTGCCTAATGACTCAGGACGTGTTTTTCAGAATGTATCTCCATCGTAAAGCCACACTTGACTGTAAAAGTAAAACTTTAAATACATTCTTCTCTTCTAATCTTTATTCTCCCTCAACAATTATGCCTCAATATTACTTCCTCAGAAGGAAAGCCACATTTAGGGAAAAAGGAAGAGTAACCCCTCTTATAGAGGGGTTATATCATAGGCACAATTAATTTATGTGAATTCAATTTCCTCATACTATCAGTATTATTGTAGCAGTACGATTACTATTAAACTATATTTTGCACATGTAAGTTATGTAAAATTTATTATATATTATCAGTTACAATATGTATTATAAATTTAATCACAAAAAGAAAGAGAGAAAATGTATATAATACAGGAGTAAATGAAGGTATTTTCAGAAATAATTCTGATTATAAAATTTTTCCTTTACCATTGTCTTAAGACCTGGGATGAGAGGCTACTCTATTACACAATAACCTTTTTGTTTTTAAGTCAAAGTCGCACTCCGTTGCCCTGGGTAGAGTGCCATGGCATTAAAGCTTATAGCAACCTCAAACTCTTGGGCTCAAGCAATCCTCTTGTCTCAGCCTCCCAAGTAGCCGGGACTATAGGCTTCCACCACAACACCCACCTATTTATATAACATTTTTAACAGAAAAAATTAATTTTTCTAGATCAGGAAAATTATATAAATATCATCCTTCCTACCTCTTAAATGTCTTAAACTATGTGATTTTTAATAAAAATAAAAGAAATTCTAATTTTTTATTCATCATACCTTTACCATTAAGGCAATATAAATTCCAAAAATGAACTATGATTCTTGAAACAGAACTTAAAATGTACTACAAACGGCAATTTCTAAAACTTTTTAAAATGCTTTTACATTATAATAAAATATTCTCTGTTTATTTAGAAAGAGTTTCACTTTCACCCTGTGTAGTGCCGTGGCCTCACAGCTCATAGCAACCTCAAACTCCCGGACTCAAGTGATCCTCTTGCCTCAGCCTCCCAAGTAGCTGGGACCACAGGCACCTGTCTCTAAAAATAGCTGGGCATGGTGGTAGGGGTCTATAGTGCCAGCTACATCAATTTAAGACAAGAAATTCCTTACAAATACCTATGTCAGAACTCTTTTCCATTCCCATAAAGATTAGAAAACAAAATCTCAAAACTGTTCAAAATTTAAAGGGATAGCATTAAATTAGTAAGATAAAAATGAAAGTATCTCCAAATAAGGCTATCAAGCTATCAAAAAATAATAACAGTAATCTTCAGCGGCAACCTATATCTGAAACTTAAAGTCGATCAACAACATTCACTGTGTATCCCAGGATTCAAAACAGCTTTAAGAAGCTGGTGACACTTTTTAAAAGATAAAATAATATGGATATATAGCAAAATCTTTCCAGAACATACTGACTTTCCCACCTTTAAACAGACATGTGTATACGTCAATCTTTTCCCCTCAACTATAAGCCTTTCTGAAGCAAAGGGATAGGCTGTTCATCTTTGCGTCTTGCAGACAACAGTCCCTGAATAAATGTTTGGCAAGTAAAAATAATTGTTAAAGCAAGTTAAGATTAAGAGTAATGGTGAACACAAGTTTTTCACTGTTTTGTTTTTTACCTGCGGAATGATGCCAGCCTGGCTTTCTTCTTGTTTACCCATCATTGTGTAAGATTTCCCAGCACCAGTCTGTCCATAGGCAAAAATACAGACATTGTATCCCTCAAAGGCATGTAAGAGCATTTCCTTTCCAATGTCATTGTACACACGGTTTTGAGATGCAAAACAGGGATCTTCAGGCTGTAAAGGTTAGGAGGAGAAATAAATGTCATTTTATTCATATTTTTCCTTACTTACTTGATTGCTTCCATAATAAACAAAAAAGTGTCTGGAATCATAACAGTAACCTAAGAAAATTGTCTATTTTTTTTTCAAGAGACAACATCTGGCTACTGCCCATGCTGAAGTGCAGTGGCAAGTCATAGGCGCCATCATGCATTGCAGCCTCCAGCTGCTGGGCTCCAGCGACCCTTCCACTCCCACCTCAGGTAGCTAGGACTACAGGTGTGCACCTCTGTACCTGGCTGACTTTACGCTTTTTAAGTCTCCCCTACACATCATTTATTTTTTTCACTAAAACGTACACACACTATTCAACTCATCCAGGCCAACCATATACAAAAATATCTACAAGAAATTATCTGGCATGATTATCTGACATTTCATTTTCCATAGGGAAAATATCACTCTTTCATTCATAGTAAGCTCCAAGAAGATTTTCTTAGTGGGGAAAAAAGGGATAGAAGGTCAAAGGTAAAGTCCCGCATCTAAATATATTTGTCTGAATTCACTCTGGCTAAGATGGCTATTTCTCAACACACACAGCTTTTAGTGAAGAATGTTTCTAATTCCTTTCACAGGTCATTCCTTTGACAATTAGACTTCACCAATAGTTTAAAACATCTCCTATTCCCCAACATAAAACAGGAAAAACAATAACACATATCAAAGAGAGGGATGGTGCTGGGCAACAAGGCCTAGAAGCAGCAAGACTCGGCTCTGTGCTGAGTACAGCAATGTGAACAGCCCTGCTCTCCACTTTCCTACATGGCAGTGACCTGTTGTTTTCCTTGTGGACCAGTTCTTTCAAAATGTTCAAAACTCACATCATTCTACTACAATTTTTTTTTTTTTTTTTTTTTGAGACAGAGCCTCAAGCTTTCGCCCTGGGTAGAGTGTGGTGGCCTCACAGTTCACAGCAACTCCTGAGCTTAAGCGATTCTCTTGCTTCAGCCCCCCAAGTAGCTGGGACTACAGGTGCCCACCACAATGCCTGTCTATTTTTTGGCTGTAGTTGTCATTGTTGTTTGGCAGGCCCGCCAGCTCTGGTGTATGTGGCTGGCACCTTAGCCACTTGAGCTACAGGTGCAGAGACTGCTGGGGTTTTTTGTTTGTTTGTTTTTTAGTTGAGACAAGAGTCTGTTACCCTTGGTAGAGTGCCATGGCGTCACAGCTCACAGCAACCTCGACCTCTTGGACTCAAGCGATTCTCTTGCCTCAGCCTGCCTAGTAGCTGGGACATTCTACTACACTTTTAAAAAACAAATAATTTTACTGTTGTCATCTCAGTCTTGCCAGCCATTACCTCAAAATTCAACTTAAAATTCACAATATAATAATCAATCGTTCATTTGGCACTTCCTAAGATCCACAGGTACAATAATGTAATAATGTTTGTAATGAGATTCCTAAGACACTGATAAATAAATCCTCAAGAGATGTAGTATCAGCATAAATCTGGTGTCCCTTCGATATAAATCTGATGTAAATCGAATCAGTTTTACATGCATATATATGTATATGCATAGACTTCCCATCAACTAAGATACTTTATTAAGGAAATACTTTACTCTTCAGACAGTAATCAGCACATCAGAAGATGAAGTCATGGCAGACCACACTTAACAGACAGACTTGGACCTGCTGGTGAAGGGAGAAGACCAACAGGAAAGGAGGGGGTGGCAGGAGAAGGCGGCACACTGCACAGAGACTGCACTCACCGAGGTATGAGACCAGTAGGAGTAGTCGAAGCTGAAGGACTTGGGGGCTTCCTTTGGGTTCTTTGGGTTAATAATACCTAAAGGATAAAAATGTTTAATTTTGTAAGTCACTCAGTCACAAGTTCTTTTGTTAAACATGATGTTCTATGTTCAAAACATCCATGTCAGTAAATTTATACTACTAAATTTGAGTAAGGAAATAAAAAACCATTTTTGTATACAATCACATTTTTAAGATGCAATTTACATATGGAACTTGAAAAAGAAACCAGACGAGTAACATTCAGTGGGTATTACCAGTATTCAGACACAGCCTGATATAAAATAGATGCTCAGTAAACGTTCTGTGACGGAAAGTTTGTCTTCCCTAGGTTAAGCTGGAAGGCAAAACTTAGAAGTGGGCCACTTTATTATTTCAAAGTACCTCACAAGGCTTTAAATATTTCAACATACCAGAAATAAAACTCAGGAAATTACTGAATTACCCCAACTACCATTTGAAACAAACTCTTTAAAGATCTTACTATTTCAGAAAAACATTCATTCACTGCAAAGATAGTCAAAGAAATTCACAGACGACAATGACAGATATGTAAGTTGTCACACGCAAGACAGACAATTACGTTCTCAAACACATCCCAGAAAAAGGGGCTACATACCACACCGCTGAATATCACCACGGTCAGCTTTAAAGTACTCCCCTTGGGAAAATACACACCAAGGCCAGTTCCCATCCCACTCTTCAAAGCAATTTTGGAACTCTTTTTTTAGAATGGCTACCAGTGGTGTCATGGTACAGGGCCTGACAATTAAGTCTGTGAACTCATCTTGAAAAAAGTGTTAAATACCTCACTGCTGAATCTCACTATGGTCACCAGACAGCCAAGGGAAGTACTTCGAAGTAACTATAATGAGGTATGTAGCGCTTTTTCTAGGTTGAGTTTACGAACTTAATTGTCTGACTTTGTATATATGTGCATGTATGTTTATGTGTATATAGTAGAATCACAGACTACTAAACCATCAGTAGAATGTTATTAACAGCAAAATTACATTTTGACTGAAAAGCATGAAGTCTCACTCCCCATGTTAAAAGTGATTTCTTGTGTAATTAATCCAGTCACACTATAGTGCAAGGACTGACTGTGAATGCTAAAGTTTAATCTCTCTCCCTTACTAATACAGATGGACTAGAATCTTTATATAATGTGGTCATGACATGTCAAAGACCAGACAACTCAACCAGTCTACTTCTTTAAGGCTGGGCCACATCCCAGGCTATCAGTGAGATCAGGATTGAAAAATAAATCTGCCTTGGACAGCTGCTGTTCAGAACACAAATAGCAACAGTTGCTACAGGGCTTAGTTCTCTTGCTGGATTCCACTGGGTATAGTCACACACTTATGTTCTAACCTCAAATGCTGACAGAGTATTAATAAGGCTCACACTGCACACAGTCATGTGACCAGGAGACACAGTTCTAGAAAGAACATCTCCCCACACATAAATGGCAATCTAAGCAAAGAAGCGCACTTCTAACCATATGGTACTAAATACAAGATTAATAATAGCCAGCATTCATGGAACACTTACTCTGACCCACAGAACTTTCTGTCCACTAACCTATTTAATGCTCCCAACCATACAATAAGAGATTTTGTTTGTTTGTTTGTTTTTTGTTTTGTTGTAGTTTTTGGCCGGGGCTGAGTTTGAATCCGCCACCTCCGGTAAGTGGGGCTGGCGCCCTACTCCTTGAGCCACAGGCGTTGCCCCAAGACAGATGTTTTTTATATCATCATTTTACAGATAAAGAAACCATTACAGATAGGTTAAACTCTTAGCCATGGCTATAGAGCTAACTAACTAGCGGCAGATTCAGGAAGTGAACTTGGAGAGAGTCTTGCTCCAGAGCTCACAATCTCAGCCAAGACACCATCACTTAAATCAGCGGTTCTCAACTTGTGGGTCGTGACCCCTTTGTAACAACGAAAATACATCGGGCATCAGGAAGGTTGAGAACCACTGACTTAAATGTTTATTCCCTACAGGCAGCACTCCAAGGCAAAGGGCAGTTGAGGCATTTTCTTAGAGGTATGTGCACCTGTATAAGTGTAGGGTCATCCTACTGATATGATACCAGACATTGTTTAACTCTCTTTATTCATTTAAAACTGAAAACTGTGAGAATTGCAGTTCCTGAAAGAGGAAAGACTACACAAATGCTACCAAGAAAATGGAAATTAGTGTCACACTGCATGAGGCAGATTCAGATTGCTGTGGTTCAGTGTAAGATGATGTCACAATGTACGGTATGACCTCTGAAGTCATCTTCACCACTCAAAAACACGATTACAAGTGGGCACAGTGGCTCCTGCCTGTAATTCTAGCACTCTGGGAGGCTGAGGTGGGTGGATGGCTTGAGCTGAGGAGTTTGAGACCAGCCTGAGCAAAAGTGAAATCCTGTCTCTACTAAAAACAGAATAACTACCCAGGCACAGTGGCGGGTGCCTGTAGTCCCAGCAACTCAGGAGGCTAAGGCAAGAGGACTGCTTAAGCCCAGGAGTTTGAAGTTGCTGTGAGCTAGGATACCATAGCACTCCACCCAGGGCAACAGAGTGAGACTCTGTCTCAAAACAAACAAACAAACATTAGCCTCTGGGAAATCTGCTGTCATAAACCTTATTAAGCCATGTTTCATTTAACCTTTTAGCTGCCAATTCTACCAAGACTAGTTCTCAGATCCTATCCCTCTGTTCTCTTTTCTCCGGTTTAAAAAAAAAAAAATCACCCTAGACCAACAAGTTAACTTCCTTGATTTACATGAAATCCTTTTTCTCTTCCTCAATATTCCCTTCTCCCAGATCTCTAAACCTTCTAAAACTAGTAAATTTTCCTAGCTTACAGCTTCAAAATCAAGCTTTTTAAATACCTTTTATCAACAAAAACCTTTTTAATATAAATAAATCAAAATACAATTTTCAAGACCTACTTAAGAGTTTTCTCAAATTAAATTTACCCACAATATTTAAAAGATTTTCATTTACAAATGAAAGATACATACACATATATATACATATAATCTATATAAGACACTTTAGAAAAATACGAAAATCCAACATTGTTGTTCCCTCTTTGGGGGGTCTCAGTGAGGACTTCAGAAGGTCATAGTAATAGTAATTTCTATCTTAAGTTCTGTATCACTACTACAGGAATGTTTATTTTATTCTTTATATTTACATAAACATTATATTATCCTGAATATATGAAATATTTCCTATTAAAAAAAATTTAGAGCCCTATACTTACAAGTGAAAAAAGATTTTTATGCAGGTAAAATAGAAATGACAGCACGTGAGCTCATGAGAACCCTACAAAGCCCATAAATTCCAGCATTCCTTCCATGGTCAATGAATTAGTGCTGTCAAATAATGTCAAAGGAGATTTCTTTCTGAATAATGATTGAGACCTAAATCACTTCCTCTAACCCAGTGGTTCTCAACCCCTCAATACAGTTCCTCATGTTGTGGTGACACCCAACCATAAAATTATTTTCGTTGCTACTTCATAACTGCAATTTTTGCTACTATTACGAATCATAATGTAAATATCTGATACTAGGCGACCCCTGTGAAAGGGGGGGGGACCCACAGGTTGAGAACCCCTGCTCTAACCCATCTAAGACAGAAGGGGCAGTACTTGTAATAAAATACAGGATTTGGAATAAAGGACCAGCATCAGTACCTCTTTATTACTATCTTTTAAGATGCTGAATATATGAAGAATAATTAAGCAAATATTACATTTGGATTTTTTGTGACCTTGAATATTACTGTGCTCTTGTGTCCTAACAATGAGGTAATACCTACTTCACAGTATTAAATGAATGAATCACTATGCAAATGTTACTTTTTTTAAAAAGGGATTTTATCTTCTTCTAGCTCTTAATATTTAGAAAGTAAAGTAACAATATTCTATTTGGTCTTTAAAGCAGGAAAAGTTCACTAAGTAATAAAATAAGCTAAATTATAACATGGGAATTCTATTTCTTGGCAAGAACCAAAATGCCACATGTGGCTCCTTTCCTAGACACACCAACAAATCTTGGGTGCTCCCACCACATCACAGACCCTGTAAGTATGTGGCCCATGTGCTAAGGATCCCCTACACCACCTTACACTAAGATGAATATCCTTCAAATGTCATCTACAATTTTAATTTAATTAAGTCCAATACCATTTTCAAGAGCATAAAGAGAAAAACAATACTGTGTGTATACCTGTGGAATACATACATGAAATACCAGTACATTTTAACAAATTTCACCAAAAGACTAGAGAGTTTTTTTTTGTTTTTTTGTTTTTTTTTTTTTTGGGTAGAGACAGAGTCTCACTTTATCACCCTGGGTACAGTGCCGTGGTGTCACAGTGCAACCTCCAACTCCTGGGCTTAAGCGATTCTCTTGCCTCAGCCTCCCGAGTAGCTGGGACTACAGGCGCTCGCCACAATGCCCAGCTATTTTTTGGATGCAATTCGCTGGGGCCAGGTTTGAACCTGCCACCCTCAGTATATGGGGCCAGTGCCCTCTCACTGAGCGACAGGCACCGCCTGACAAGACAGATTTTTATTGCTAAAAAACTGAACAACAATTAACACAGTGGTTCTTGTGTCAAGGTAAACTGAGCTGAAACAGTGCACATAACTTCTCATTCGTTACTCAGCATGCACATAACAACAGAATTACAGTAACTAATGAACACATTCCATACATAAACCTTATTTTCACCAACATAAAAACAATGACAAAGTTAGTACCCACCCCCAGGGTTATGTGTAATCAGCAAGAAGGCTTTGTCTAGGACAAAAGTTACTACTTTCCTGCAAGGAATGAACTCCAGGACTATTTTTGAGGGCTGGAACCAGAGCATAAGCACTATAGACTTCACATTGCTTTACTGCCTATAAAACCACCTTTACTGAGGATCGTCTTTGACTTTCTTCTGTCACCCTCCACATCTGACCTATCCCGTTCATTCTACTTTTAAACTACAGTAGAACCTCCAGAGTGAAACCTCCCTA